TGTTTTTTAATTTCACTAATATTTAATTTTATTGATCATAAGCGAATTTATTGTATAACCCAAAACCTAACTTTGTCTTATCTTATTATAAACCTCAGTTTGGTATATATACATTACCTTTAAGTAATTTTAATAATAATTTTTCTCAAAAAAAATAAAAATAAATTGTGATATGATCATTGCATCCGAAATGAGCAAGTTAATTATGTACAATATGTCTCCATTGAACATTTTAATAATGTTCGGATGAGGTTTCTTGAACACTAATTATATGTTCAATTCATGCTTACTAAAAAGTTTAAAGTTAGTCCAAATATTTTTATTGACTTTGCTTAAGAAATATACCAAAACCAATGGATTTGTGCAGAAAAAGAAAAAGAAAAAATTATCATTGTAAATAAAATATGACTACTAAATACAATTATTCAGTTAAATCACGATATAACCTGACGAGATAAGTTAAAAATAAACTATCCAAAAGAAAAAAAAGAAATTATACAATTTAATGAGGTCTAAAAATATATTTTAAAATTGAAATGACATATATTTAGTAACGAGGATTATTGAAATGAAAAAGTGAAGGCTAAATATCATATTTGAAGCTTAAAAGCTTAAACTTTTGAATCAAGCGATTATTTAATAAAGTATTAGAGTTAAATGTCTCCCTTCTTATTATTTTTAAACTTTATTATTCTCATTTAATTAGTTACTATAATTCATGTCAATCTATTATATCTAGAAACTTAAACTTTCCAATCAAATAATTTTACCGTTAAGTAAAAAAGATAAGAAAAATTGACAAAACACACTAAAGCATTTTGAATAAATAATTTCTAGGCAAAGTTTTGAGTTAAACCCATTTTTTATTATTTTATTATTTTGCATAATGTATTAATTGGGGACTAATTAAATCAATCCAGGTAACCTGCCCAAATAAAAAAAAAAAAAAAAAAAACTAAAACGCTAGGGGTGTGCGTGTGGCTCACACACTCTAAATGCAAGTAAGTAGAACAGTGCAATTTCAGGTAAGACAAGATCACGGGAGTGGCGGGAGATTACAAATTAATTAAATATCCACGAAAATTGGTGAGGCTGAGTTATGGCACCTTATTGGCAAACCATGCAATCAATTTATAGGCCTAATTTCCCTCATTATTCAAAGAATCAAAATTAAAAGTTAATTTGTTTTGGTGTTTATGGACCAACATTTGCCCATCAATCCTCCTTTTTAATTTAAGAGTAAACGTCATGTTCTCACCTAAGGTTTGGCAAAATGATAAGTTTTCATCACTTGTTTCATAAATTATAGATTCCCACCTTTTAAATTAACAAAAAAATTGGTTAATATAACGATTAAATGATAAAGTAGTCGTTTGCACTGCATTAAATCTGAAATGAAAATAAAAATTTCAAAATAACCCTCAAAAACCTAGTGTGCACAAAAAGGGAGAGAGATAGTGAGTCGTCGACGGGAGGAAATTGGTCAGAAAAAAAAAAAAACCCAAACAACACAAAACACTTCAAAATGATCACCCTCTCTAAAAGACACAACCAATTCCCCCAATCAGCTCTATAAAAATTAAAATTTAAACCCAAATTCACAAAAACTCGCAAGAAACACTAGAGGAGGTCGCCAACGATCATAGAGCTAACATGATTTTGGTTGTTGGGGGTCTTTTGAAGAGGAGAAATCGGAGAGTCTATAGTTGGTGAGAGGGTGGTCAGAAGGAGAGGGATGGATGCACGAATCACAAATTGGTCGAAATTCGACGATTGGCAAGGTCAATGAGGAAAGGGTAAGGGGGTTTTGGTGTGTGCGGCTCGAGGAGAAGTTTGGTGGTGATGAGGAAAGCTGCCATCGTTGAAAAACCAACAAAAAAAGCAAGTGGTGACATTTACTAACGGGAATGTGCTGCCTCCTACTAAGTAATTTATTAATTTTTTTTGTCAAGAGCAATATGATTATAACACCCTTTGCACCTATGTCATAATTTAAAAGTTGTTAACGGTGTTAGTTTAAAGGTGGTAATCTGAAATTTATGAAATTACTGGTCAAAACTTGCCTTTCCACCAAACCTTGGGTGGAAACATGCCGTTTACTCTCTGTTTAATATATAGTGCAACAAAAAACAAAGCTATTATTATCAAGAAAAAAAAAAACCCATAATTAATTAAGATCACAACTACCAACGTTTCGTATTAACTCAATCACTCTCCAATGGTTAACATCACAAGAAGTATAAATATAATAATGTCATTATCCAAGGAGTACTATTAATTACTTCTGAAGAAAAACAAAAAAAAAAAAAACACCCATAAATACATGTAAATTTGACTATGGTTAATGCTTTGTTTATAAGATAAAAAACTCCATGAAAAAGACATTAATTCCATCCCTAATTTGGGTTGAGTTAGGCGATTTGGCACTCTTTCTTTCATACGGTCAAATTTGATTTCTCCTCGGTCCTCCCCTAAATTGACTTTTAGCCTTCTATTTATTTATACTTGTATAATATATAATCCATTCCATTTTGCATTCAAGTAATAAAGGTAATTACTTCTACATGGGTTTATCTCATTAGGTCTTGTGTCAAACGCCAATTTACCTACTTAAGTTTTCTCTAGATGTTTTGGTTAATTTTGGAGGAAATAAATCAAACGGAGATTATGAATAAGGGCATGTTTGGTACATCATTTATAATTTTTTTTTTAAATATTGAAAATAATATTTTAAAAATTATGAAAATATAACTGATTAAATAAACTTCTATAACTGATTAATTAGTTTTCGGAAACCTTATATACCTAATTGATAATCTTTCTAAATTAAATAAACTTTACCATATTATTATTTGTTATTTGATTACGAAAATGGAATTCATGCAGTTGAGGTAATTTATTATAGTGTTTTAATACGCGAAATCATTATCAAAATGTATCATAAATTCACTTTAATGCGCAATAAACGTGGTAATTTAATAATTCCATAAAATAACCTCAAATAAATTTGTTGTAATTTTAGTAAGAGATTTATTATTTTATCACTGTGGATATATTATTATTATTATTATTAAAATGGGATGGTCAACAATTCATCTAGATTGAGTTTAGTGAGGTGTAATTTTCTTAATGTACTTTTTAACTATAATAGTCATTTATTAAGAAAGCTTAATACAATTTCAAATCCCTATTTATATCTCTAACATCCAATTTAAACGACACAAATTAAGTGAAATTAGAGTCGTTTTATAATGTGATTTATTATCTAACTGTTGTGACAAATTTTATTATTCATAGCTACTGGATTTGCCTTTGTCATTAAGGCATTACAGTGGGTCACATCAGTGTTTTAAATGTTGACAGTTAATTACTTTCTCATCCCTCAGGTTTCGTGTAAAAATTGTCCCTCTCTGATTTTGAAAAACTAACACTAACACCTCAAAATAGAGGTTTTGTCACTTAAATGATACAATTCAAGGACAAGAAAGACGTTTTAAATAGGTTTTGAATTTTTAATATTATAATAGAATTTGTGTGATTGTAGCATATGCCACATCATGATGTAATAAAAGATATATAAAAAAATGGTATAAATATAGCATTACTCTTTTGAATAAACCTAGATTTAATGCTCTTACACATTTCAATATTAGAAACTGATTGTAGCAGGTGTTAGTAACTAATTCCAAGTTGATTGGGAGAACTGTTAGTTTATAAAGTTGTAGGGGTGTATGGGGAACTAACCTAATAAACCCAAATGTTTAAGCAAGTAACCGTTTAAATTAAAAAAAATATAAAAAATAAAAAGAAAAAGGAGATAAAGGCTAGTAGGCTACAAAGAGTCAAAGACCAAGACACAAAAAAGTGTCTTAAAAAAAACCGGCTAAACCGGCTTATTGTTCAAAATCAAACTTCACTTGCATAGAAGTGAGGCTGAGGGGAGGCAATCACGTCTTGACCGTCAATCTGGAGGATCCACGTGGAAGGCGTAGGNAACTGATTGTAGCAGGTGTTAGTAACTAATTCCAAGTTGATTGGGAGAACTGTTAGTTTATAAAGTTGTAGGGGTGTATGGGGAACTAACCTAATAAACCCAAATGTTTAAGCAAGTAACCGTTTAAATTAAAAAAAATATAAAAAATAAAAAGAAAAAGGAGATAAAGGCTAGTAGGCTACAAAGAGTCAAAGACCAAGACACAAAAAAGTGTCTTAAAAAAAACCGGCTAAACCGGCTTATTGTTCAAAATCAAACTTCACTTGCATAGAAGTGAGGCTGAGGGGAGGCAATCACGTCTTGACCGTCAATCTGGAGGATCCACGTGGAAGGCGTAGGGGTCGTCGATCCCACGCTGACGTGGCCTAGGACAGTGTAAACAAAGTGGTTTTATTTATTTATTTATTTTTTCCAGGAGAGAGAAAATAATCTCTAAGATTGTAAGATATAGAACGAGAAACAAGGCGCGGAGAGGCCGTCCAAAAACAACAACAGAGAAAAATAGAAGAGGAGAAAGAAAGAAAGAAAGAAGATAGAGAGAGAAAGAGAAAGATTTTTGCTTTTCGTTTCTCTTCGTAATTATTTCGCCTTTCTTTCTCAACCGAAGTCGCGTTTCAGCGTGTTAAATCTCCTCTTTTTTAGGGTTCTGCCAAAAAAAAAATAAAAAATCTCTGACAAAAAACATAATACTTCAAATTTAAAAAAAAAAAATTATACAGAAAAAAAAAAAGAAAATTAACAGAGAAGAGCAGCAGACACAGATCGGACACCAAGAATTTAAATCAATTTGCTAGATCTTGCTCTTCTCTAACTTTGGATCAATTCTTGGTATACATTTTTCAGCTGTATCAAATTTTATTTAATATCGAATTTTCGGGGTGTGTTTGGGAACGTAAATTAGGAGGAACCGCGGTCGGAATGAGATGAGATCCTTCTAGATTGGTTCTAGAAGGTAGGGATCTGGTGATAGAGGTGTTTCATTGATCGTCGGATGAGCAAATCGGAAGGATAAACGATGAAATGGGTATCATTGCTTAAGGACATAAAGGAAAAGGTCGGTTTAGCTCAATCTCCGTCAACTGCTGCTACTACAACAGCCACTGCTTCTTCTCCTCCTTTGTCCAATCGCGAAAACAATGCCTGCGCTGTTCTTCAAGACTACGCTTCGTCTCCTGCAAGGTCCGTTCCGTTTCTTTAATTTTTTATTCCTTTATGTTTTTTCTTGCACTATATGATTAAATTTGTGCAACTCGTACGTTTTTCAGTAGTACATTTGTTTTTTTCTTTAATATATTGTTATTTTCAAATTTTAAGTGCGTTGACCGCGCTTATTATTAATCTGTTCTGAATTTAGTTTTTTTGGTTGTTTTTAATTGCTCGATTACTATTGATAATAGTTTGGAGATTATGGATATAGTTTTGGATTGAGAAGGGTTAGGTTTTTTGTAATTTTTGAGTAGATGAGCTTCATGAGAACATCTGAAGTAGAATTTAGCTAGAGATGGTTCCTTGTTTCTGAGGTTTTAAAACTTTTTTCTGGGTCTACTAAGTGGTAGGATTGTTAAATGAGTATCTAATAGCTCTTTGGTACTTGTTTTCTGTTGTATCATATGGGGTATTCACATGGAAGTTTTTCAAGATGTCCCGGTGATCTTTGTACAAAGTGTTAATGGTCTTTTCTTTGAGGGTAAGATAGTTGCAGCAATTTGTTGGATGCTACTTAAATTGCATTTGACAAAATCTTGTGCAATGGTTGGGCCTACTTTAGTAATTAGTTTATTGACAGGGATCAACTTTTGGACCTGTTTCTTTAATGAAGATTCCCATGTGGCTCAAGTTTGAAAGTCAACCAAAAGTCATGTCTGGTAATGATACATGGATTATGAATCTGTTGCCCTTTTTTTTCTTTGAAAACCAATCACGTTGTATCTCCAGCTATATTGCATTTGGGAAGAAGGATGAGATATACATTATGGTTTTTGATGGATGAAAGACTTGAAGAAGATGAAGTGGTAGGATGGTGGAAAAATTTGAGATACTGCAGGTTGAGAAGTGATAATTAGTTGTATTAGGCTTCTAATAAGGGTTAGCATTCAGATTTTTTGTACTTGAATTTTGATATTGATGTAGTTATTTGTTTTTTCTTGTTTATAAGGTTTTTGTTTCGTCACCTTTTATTTGTATCTTCTGGTCAGCTTATTTCTGTCTAAACTTAATATTAGGGCTTACTGCTATGAGCAATTTGCTCCAATTTGTGCTTCTTGTTCTTCACATTTTACAGGAAATGCCAAAGAAAAGTGGGGATAATATGACTGCTTCTTGTAATTTGATTGATAGTCATATTCAGTCATGCCTTAACACTCTTCTGTGACCTTTCTCTCCTCATTTTCCTCATTTCTTTTTTCCTCTGATAGCAGAGACAAACATGAATTGGAATTGGACTTCAAGAGATTTTGGGAAGAATTCCGTTCATCCAGCTCGGAAAAGGTTGATGCCTTCCCGTACTAAATTGTTTTATTACGTTTAGTACTTAGGATGCTATTACTCATTGCTTCTAGACATTTCTTAGCCCTAATGTCTTTCTTTGTGCATGCAGGAGAAAGAAGCCGCCTTGAATTTGACTGTGGATGCTTTTTGTAGATTAGTAAAGCAGCATTCTAATGTAGCTCAATTAGTTACCATGTAAGAACATCATTTTCCATGTTTGACATGCTCCTTTGAACTTTTTGGTCCAATCATGTGGTGTGATATCAGATTCTCATGGTTGTAGTGTACTGTTGATTTTGAGATTTTTTTAATAGTTTTGAGGAGTTATTTATTCTTCAAGACAAAAATAGCAATAATATTGTGCATTTACAATTCAAGTTTTTTATGTAGTCGGTGTTCTTCTTAATATTTCTTCAAGTTACGTGGACTTAAACTTGGTATATTATTTGTTCTTTAAGTCTTATATTAACTTATTGTGTAGGATTACACTCAGAAAACTCCTCGTGTCCAACTGCTATATAGTATTTGCTTGGTTCCACTTTGATAGAATCAGTTTTTTCACTTCTTTATTGAATGTCATTCCTGCTGCATCCAGTGCATGTTAGAAATTTGTTAGCTGGCATTTGTTTTTTTAGATGAGGTTGCTGTGCTCTGTATTTTCCCTAATTGTGAAGACTTTGACCAACTTTGATGAATTACAGGTTAGTTGAAACACATATATTCTCTTTTGTTGTGGGAAGAGCATTTGTAACTGATATTGAGAAGTTAAAAATCAGCAGCAAAACAAGATCACTGGATGTAACAAAAGTTTTAAGATTTTTTTCGGAGGTCACAAAGGTAAGTGTGTTTGATCCTTTTAATTTTGTAATACCCAGAAATCTCGCAACCTTCTCTACATGTTAATCAAGTTCTAAACTATGGTCTACTTCCAGAACTTTCAACCTTGGTGGCTAGGAAACTTCTAGGATATAATGGCTTTGTTTGTTTAGTTTTTTAGAATAGTATTCTATTATGTATAGGATTTTTGGAAAATAAGATAGGATTCTGAGAATGTTTTTAGTAGATTTTTGGAAAATATTTAGACTATTTTTTAACCTCCTAGGTTTGTTAATTTAACTACACACCCCTCACAATAAAAGTTTATAAATTGACAAAAACACCCCCACCCACTCAACTATTGTTGGCTACCGACTATCATCGCCGAGCGGTGGCCGGAAGTAGTGCGATGGTGCACGACTGGCTGGATCTGGTTGGAAAAGGCCAAATCTGGCTGGAAACGACCAGATCTACGACTATAGATTTGGCCGTTGATGGCCAAACGATAGCCAAGATATCTGGCCGTCGTTTGGTCGTAGATCTGGTTGGAAATGGATAGATTGGTGCACGATGGGCCAAATCTAGTCAGTCGTGCGTCGTTACAACCGTGGCGGTGGCGGCTGCTAGCGGGTGATAGTGGCTTGGGTGGGTGGAGGTGTTTTTGTTAATATTAAAACTTTTATTGAGAAAGGTAATTGTTAATGTTTTGAGTTGAATAGAATATGATTGAATTTTTAAGAGAATTTTGAATATTAAGACAAAGATGTATTTTGATAGGATTGGTTAGGATAGTGGGAAAATAATGAAACAAACAGAGGGAATAACTTAGTAGGTGCTTCCAAGGGGATTTATATTTTTTTGCTAAAACCAAGGGCGTTTACCACTAAGCCCAATTCTTGGGTTTGGTAAAAGCCTATTGGATCTTAATATTGCCCTTTTCCATATCTTTGCAGATGATTTGTTATTTGAAATTTTATTCATGTGTATTCTTCTACAGGAGGGCATCACTCCTGGTTCAAATTTGTTAACTGCAGTAGAAGTTCTTGTATCTGGGGTATGTTTTCATATCATTATATTTCCTAGTTTGAATTATCTAAGTAATGCAAATTTGAGTAACAATGAAGTTATTTGGCCGATGTAGTTGCAGATTTTTCCTAGTTGGTGTAGCATAAACCAGAAAGAATTATAGATATAAGTGCACATGATGTCATTCCTCTATTTTATTTGATGTTGTGACCATATAGAAATATGATTATTTTATTATTTTTTGTTCACAGCCTATTGATAAACAATCTCTTCTTGATTCTGGGATATTTTGCTGTCTCATACATATTCTCAATGCCCTTTTGACTCCTGATGAAGATGATCAAAAGCAAAAGACTACTGATTTTGAAGAGTCATTGCTAGCTGAAAAGAATTGCAATGATGATGGGCAAGCTCGCCGGCTTGAGGTAGTGTTCATTTCATGCCCTTCTGATTAATGCCATGTACCCTAAACAAGTTTATGCCAATGTATAAACTGCAAACTTTATCTGGAGCAATGTTTTTTGTGGATTCATTGTTGTTATTTTGCATAATCTGTGATATTTTTGATACTTTTAAGCTTTCTTAAAAAAGTACAAATTGTCTGTTTAAACGTATTTGTTTCCTTTGGGACATCTTCACAATAATTTTCGCCTCAATTCTTTAGGGTATCTTTTTAAGCTGAAGCTTTTCTATCATTTAGAGTGCAATAATACGGAACTAAAGGCTCTCTTTAATCCTCAGGAGTAATGTGTTGTAAGCTGCTGTGTCTTAACTATATTTTTATGAAATGAGGAAGACAGAATGGTTCCCGAATGAAAAATGAGATATATCTCGTGCAGATTTTGAATTAAGGCATATTGCATATGATTGTACTCCTGAGTTCTGGCTTATTTTTAATCATCTGGTGTGTTGAATAATGCTCCTTAATTGGGTTGTTCTTAGACATAGATGTTCCTTAAGTCAGCAAACTGCACACCAATTACTCTTTTAGAAGCCAATGACCTGGTCTCTCGTGAGTTTGGGCTTTAGGTGCAGCCTCAACTCAACCTTAATGTTAATTGTTGGAAGTGTCAACAATATGTTCCTCTATAGCAAATTAACAATGATGTTAGTTTCTCTTATATATGAAAAAATCTATAATTTGCTCAGAGAAAGCGTTGAACTACTACTGCCTAAGTTCAGTTACTTGGAAGTTTATTTGACTTTAACCACTTGCATTGCCTGCAAGTCAGGCTTATCAAATTATATGTATAGTCTGTTTCTTTATAATTAGATAATTTGTAACTGTTTTTCGGAGTTAAGAGGTAGTTAAGAAAGTATCTCTTTGCGCTAAGAGTTATGTGTAATCAGTTCTCTGATAAGAAGAGTCATGTAACTTCTTACTTATTCAAGAACCTAATTTGCTTGCTTCTTGTTGGATATTTTTTATGAGTTTCTCTAGTAATAGTTCTTTTATTATGGGCATAATTGTCTTTTTTTGTTCTCCTTTCTGCATAAGAAAAGTCATGTATTACCTTAATTATTCAAGAACTTAATTTGCTAGCTTCTAGCTGGGTAATTTTTATACGTTTATCTAGTAATTGTTCTTTTATTATGGGTATCGACTTCCAAATCCCTGTATAACTTGAAATTGGCCATTGCCAATATAGATGTTTGAATAATTCAGCAATTGTAACTACTGATTGCCATTAACTGGAACCATGCCTTTTGGTTTTAATTTATTTTACATTTTGGTCATGCAGGTAGAGGGCAGTGTTGTCCATATTATGAAAGCATTGGCAAGCCACCCTTCAGCGGCACAGAGTTTGATCGAGGATGATTCACTTCAGTTGCTGTTTCAGATGGTTACCAATGGTTCTTTAACTGTATTCTCTCGTTATAAGGAAGGTCATGTTCCACTGCACAGCTTACAGCTTCATAGACATGCAATGCAGGTGAGTTTATTGTACATTCTTACACAATGCACTCAATTTAAATGCTTTATTCTTAATTAATATATTTTTGATTAGGAAAATGCTTTATTCTTTATATGCCACATGATAAAATGTAAATAAGGTTCATGGTCTGATAGTTGAATTTTTGTTACTTTTCGGTTGTTTTTCAGATACTGGGTCTTCTTTTGGTCAATGACAATGGAAGCACTGCCAAATATATACGCAAACATCATTTGGTAATCTTTTCTTGTTTCTTATCAAAAGGAAAAAATTAATCATCTGGTATGCCATAACATAAATGTTTAGAAGCATGTCTGAAATTGGGTTGCTCTTGATAAACTATTGTGGGAGACTAATATAGTAGAGGGTCTAGAATCATTGGTTCACTTTGTGGTATTCCGTATATCCTATATAATTGATTACTAGGATCTAAACTGTTTTTTTCATGATGATTAAGTTTTGAGTCTGAGTACATTTAGGTTTATAATTTGTGTAGCTTTGCTTTTAATAGTTGTTCTTTCATATTTACAAGTAAACAGTTGGTGGAGATCGACCATGTAAACCTTAAACTTAGTTTTGAATTTGTATTTTATTTGAAGTGGCATTCATTGCTGTTAACCAGAGTAATTATCTTGCCTAATATTTCTTAGAAAATTTTCTTAGTTCTTATAATACCATTTCTTGAAATCAAGTTCACTAATTTGATTCTTTAAACTGGACTTGGTATATTGGTTCTCTGTGTCTTTTATGATTGTATCCCTGATTTTGAAAAATTATAAACTGGTGTTTGGATACAGAAATGATGGCATCTCCTGCAATGATTTCGTACTTCATTCTTTATTTTGTATTTTATTTGGTAATCTTGTGAGTACTTTTAAAAAACTATTGGGATGTAGATAGTTAGGGCATAGATGTAGAAAAGAGTCAAAAGACATGATGGAAGGCAATGCTAGTAGGATTATCTTGCTCATTCACAGTTTAGGTGTACTGAATGTCTTGTATTAAACAGTAGAAGTAGTATATCTGTATCTAAATCACCCCCTCTCCCTCTGATGAGGTGATTAATGAAAGCCTGCCTGGCTTCTGATGCATCGTGAGAAGTGCTGCAAACTGCATACTTGTTGGTGTTTGTATGCCATTATAACCTGTGTTTGAGGAATAACATTTATGATAGTCACTTATATTCCTTAATCAGTGAGAGGCCTAAGGTATAACATGTAAATTCTGTATCGGGTTTATGTCTCTTATTTTAAGGCAAACACAAGATTAGTTCTTTGAGGCGCAGCTATTAGGCTAATGTTCTTATGGCCTGCTTTTCAACATTTGACTGTTAATAATGCTCACTTCTCCAGCCCCCTTTTATTTGATATGTGGAGCTCTAATGCTAGCCATGTTAAAGACGTCAGACATTTTTCTTTTTATCAAAATTATCTTTCAGGGTTTCTTTAATGTGCTTCTTTAAGTTCCTTCATTGTGATTATTGGCTTGGTTTATGATCTGTTCATCATTTATTGAAAATATCTTACCCAGTGAATGTTGTCTCCACATGCAGATAAAAGTTCTGTTAATGGCTGTTAAAGATTTTAATCCAGATTGTGGCGACTCTGCCTACACTATGGGCATTGTGGACTTGTTACTTGAATGTGTGGAATTGTCATACAGACCTGGTAATTGGCTCTTATCTTTCCCTGTTAGGTTGTCTAAGAAGAATCATTAAGAGGAGTAATCTTATTTCCTCTTGAAATAAATAAGGGATAGTAGCACACATAACTATAATATGAGGGCTTTTGTCAAAGGTAACACCTTCAAATTTTTTTGAAAACAACTGAGTGGGGTGCTTTACATGCTCAACGACATGGCTATTAAGTGTGTCAAGTATGCCGACTGCTATTGAGTGTGTTGAGGTGCTCCTACTTGCATCTTATTTTACCATGTCGCTTGACATACTCAATGAGAGCATGGCAAAATCGCTTTCAATTCCAGGGGTATTTTTGTTTAATGTTTCAAAATTTAGCCAGATGTGCAGAAAATGTCAAGATGAGTTATTTTCAAAAGTCCTCCCAAATCATGGTTTTTTTTTTTTTTTTAATTTTTTTTCGTAATTTCTTCAATATAAATATTCTTCTTTCCCTGCTGATTGTAGATTTTTTCTTTTCTTACAGCTTGTAGCTTTGTTTAAAATTTTGTTTTACTCTGCTAATTTTATACAATTTTGCTTGTAGAGGCTGGTGGTGTGAGGCTCAGAGAGGATATACATAATGCCCATGGTTATCAGTTCCTTGTTCAATTTGCACTAATTCTGGCTTCCTTGCCACAAAAGCAGGCGATTGAGTCTACTTATTCTAAGTCTCCTTCCAGTAAAAAATTTGTATCAGAAGGTTCTCAAGCATTGCATGATGAGAGACAGGACTTTATAGGAGAGGAAGAGGATCCTTCACTGCAACATCTTTCACCCACACTGTCTAGGCTGCTTGATGTCCTCGTGAATTTAGCTCAAACTGGTCCTACGGAACCTACAGGATCTTCTGGAGGCAAAGGATCTAAGTCTTCTCAATCCAAGGGTAGTGGTCATAGCAGAAGTCGTACAGCTTCTGCTGACCGGTTTGGTGAAGAAATGTGGGAACAGGGAAATGGTAAAGTGAAAGACCTCGAGGCAATCCAAATGTTGCAGGACATTCTTCTCAAGGCAGGCAAAAGAGAAGTGCAGGCAGAAGTGTTAAATAGAATGTTTAAAATATTCTCTAGTCACATTGAAAACTATAAGTTGTGCCAGCAAGTACGGACAGTTCCTCTTTTTATCCTAAACATGGCTAATTTTCCTCCATCATTGCAAGAGATAATCTTGAAAATTCTTGAATATGCTGTGACTGTTGTGAATTGTGTTCCTGAGCAAGAATTGCTCTCACTTTGTTGCTTGCTTCAACAACCAATAACATCTGAGCTAAAGCAGACTATACTTTCCTTCTTTGTAAAGCTCCTATCCTTTGATCAACAGTACAAGAAAGTCCTCCGGGAGGTTGGTGTGCTGGAAGTTCTGATAGATGAACTGAAGCAGCACAAGTTTCTTCTGGGTCCAGACCAACATAATGGTAACCCTGGTCAGTTGGAGAGAAAATCCAGCTCAAGTAGCTTCAAGAAACACATGGATAGTAAGGATACTATTATTTCTTCGCCCAAGCTTTTAGATTCTGTTTCAGAGAAGTTTCCTATTTTTGAAGTTGAGGGTACAATTGCTGTTGCATGGGATTGTATGGTCTCTTTGGTGAAGAAAGCTGAAGCTAATCAAACAACATTTAGATCAGCCAACGGTGTGACCACTCTTCTTCCTTTTTTGGTGTCTAATATCCATCGTACTGGTGTTCTTCGTATATTGTCATGTTTGATCACTGAAGATGTCAACCAGGTATTGGGTTATTTACATTTGCCTTACAGTTTCATATTTTGATGGAGCTCAGCTCTAAGAATTTTGTCTTTTCTCCTTAATTCTTTTTGAAATATAATTATTTTAGTACTAAGCAATCTCAACCATAACTTTTAGTGGTGTAACTTTGAAAGTAATTGATCTTTTCATGCTTACGGATAGATAATCATATACCGATACTTGTCTATAGCTTTATTGTCTACACTCAGTGTCACAAAATATCATTGGATTGTTTCTTTTACCAGGCCCATCCAGAAGAATTAGGTGCACTTGTTGAAGTTCTAAAAGGTGGAATGGTTACTAGTGCTTTAGGACATCAGTACAGGCTTCAAAGTGATGCCAAATGTGATACAATGGGAGCATTGTGGCGTATATTGGGAGTTAACAATTCCGCCCAAAGGGTTTTTGGCGAATTCACTGGGTTTTCTCTTCTGCTAACCATGCTTCAAAGTTTTCAAGGTGAAGAAGGACATCCAGATGAATCTTTTTTAATGGTTTATATCAAGGAGTTTACATATTTATTGCGCTTGATGACGGTTGGAGTGCTTGATAATACTGTTAATAGAATGAAGTTACATTCTATCATATCATCCCAAACTTTTTATGATCTTTTATCCGAATCTGGTCTGTTATCTGTTGAGTGTGAAAAGCAAGTTATACAGTTGTTGTTGGAACTTGCTCTTGAAATTGTGCTTCCACCTTTCTTGACATCTGAGAATGGTACATCATCTGATGTGGTTGAATCTGAGTCGTCTTGTTTTCTGTTAACTACCCCTTCTGGTTTATGTAATCCCGAGAAGGAACGAGTGTACAATGCTGGTGCTCTCAAAGTTTTAATCCGTTCATTGTTGCTTTTTACTCCGAAGGTGCAGTTAGAAGTGCTTAACCTCATCGATAGGCTAGCTCGTGCTGGTCCTTTCAATCAGGAAAGCCTTACCTCTGTAGGTGAGAAATTCATCTCCTAGCCTCTCTCTAAATTTTACCAAATTGTGGTTTGTTTTCTTACTATTGCTTTCTCTGGATCTATTTAGGATGTGTGGAACTTCTACTAGAGACAGTTCACCCGTTTCTTTTGGGTTCATCTCCAATACTTTCTTATGCTTTGAAGATTGTGGAAGTTCTTGGGGCATATCGGTAGGATTTTGGCTGTATTCAGTGATTATAATATCTGCCTAATCCATTTCACTAATTTCTTTGATCTCTGTTATATTTAAACATATTATAACTTTTGTGATAGGTTGTCTGCATCAGAACTCCGGATGCTAGTAAGATATGTTCTACAAATGAGACTGATGAACTCAGGCCATATTATTGTGGATATGATGGAGAGATTAATTCTTATGGAAGATATGGCCTCAGAAGATGTTTCTCTAGCACCATTTGTAGAGATGGATATGAGCAAGATTGGACACGCTTCTATTCAGGTGTCTCTGGGAGAAAGATCTTGGCCTCCTGCTGCTGGATATTCCTTTGTATGTTGGTTTCAGTTTCGAAATTTGTTGAAATCACAATCAAAGGAAATGGAACTGTCCAAAGTTGGGAGTTCTAAGCGGCGAAGTGGCTCTAGTGGGCAGCAGTCCGAACGGCAGATGATCCGTTTATTTTCTGTAGGTGCTGCTAATAATGGAAACACTTTCTATGCAGAACTTTTTCTGCAGGAGGATGGTGTACTAACCCTTTCAACTAGCAACTCTTCCTCTTTGTCATTTTCTGGATTAGAATTGGAAGAAGGCAGGTGGCATCACCTTGCTGTTGTTCATAGTAAGCCAAATGCTCTAGCTGGACTTTTTCAAGCTAGTGTTGCTTATGTGTATCTCAATGGAAAGCTTAGGCACACAGGAAAATTAGGTTATTCTCCGTCACCAATTGGAAAACCTTTGCAGGTAACAATTGGGACTCCGGTTACTTGTGCAAGAGTTAGTGACCTTACGTGGAAACTTCGCTCTTGCTATCTTTTCGAGGAGGTTCTCACATCAGGATGCATTTGTTTCATGTACATTCTTGGTAGAGGATACAGAGGGCTCTTCCAAGATTCAGATCTTCTGCGTTTTGTGCCTAACCAAGCTTGTGGTGGTGGTAGTATGGCCATCCTAGATTCCTTAGATGCTGAATTGAGTTTGGCTTCTAACACACAGAAGATTGACACTGCCAGCAAGCAGGGGGATTCCAAGGCAGATGGTAGTGGGATTGTTTGGGATTTGGAGAGACTAGGAAACCTTTCATTACAGCTATCTGGGAAGAAACTTATATTTGCATTTGATGGAACATGTACAGAAGCTATTCGAGCATCTGGTTCTTTTTCCATGCTTAATCTGGTTGATCCTATGTCTGCTGCCGCTTCTCCTATAGGGGGTATGCAACCACTTTATTTCATTAATGCATTTAAAAACTTTACTCAAAGCTATTGGAATCTGATTTTGTGTGAAGAATTGTTCTTTAATCCTTTGTATCTCTCTTATAATTTTGTCTCTTTGTTGTGGTAGGTATACCACGCTTTGGACGTCTTCATGGGGATATCTACATCTGTAGGCAGAGCTTGATTGGTGATACCATTCGTCCTGTTGGCGGGGTAACTGTTATCCTCACTCTTGTTGAAGCAGCTGAAACCAGGGATATGCTTCACATGGCCCTGTCGTTGCTTGCTTGTGCACTTCAGCAAAATCCTCAGAATGTGAGAGACATGCAAACATGCAGGGGCTACCATTTACTCTCTCTCTTTCTACGTCGTAGAATGTCATTATTTGATATGCAATCTCTTGAGATCTTTTTCCAGATTGCTGCATGTGAAGCCTCATTTTTGGAACCAAAGAAGCTTGTAGTTAATCGTACATTGTCACCTCCGGCAAGTACTCCAGAAGCTAGCTTTGAGGAACTTAGTTTGTCAAAATTTCGGGACGAAATTTCGGCACTTGGATCTTTTGGAGATATGGATAACTTTTCTGCACAAAAAGATTCATTTAGTCATATTTCTGAGCTTGAAAATATTGATATGCCAGTTGAAACTTCAAATTGCATTGTCTTGTCTAATGCAGATATGGTTGAGCATGTCTTGTTGGACTGGACATTGTGGGTTACAGCCCCAGTTTCCATTCAAATTGCATTGCTTGGTTTTCTTGAGCATCTTGTGTCCATGCACTGGTACAGAAATCATAACCTCACAGTTCTTCGCCGGATTAACCTTGTTCAACACCTACTTGTGACTCTACAGCGGGGTGATGTTGAAGTTCCTGTTTTGGAAAAATTGGTCGTACTGCTTGGTGTCATTTTGGAAGATGGTTTTTTGGTCTCTGAACTTGAACATGTGGTTAGATTTGTTATTATGACATTTGATCCACCTGAACTGAAGTCACAGCGTCAGATAATGCGAGAGTCAATGGGGAAACACGTAATTGTAAGGAATATGCTGTTGGAGATGCTTATTGATCTTCAAGTAACCATAAAATCAGAAGAATTGCTTGAGCAGTGGCATAAGATTGTTTCATCCAAATTAATAACATATTTTCTTGATGAAGCTGTTCATCCTACGAGTATGAGATGGATCATGACTCTGCTTGGCGTGTGCCTTGCTTCTTCCCCCACATTTGCTCTAAAATTCCGCACTAGTGGAGGTTATCAAGGTTTGGTGCGGGTACTTCAAAGTTTCTATGATTCCCCGGATATATATTACATTTTATTCTGTCTAATATTTGGTAAACCTGTTTACCCAAGACTACCGGAAGTGCGTATGCTAGACTTTCATGCCCTGATGCCAAGTGATGGAAGTTATGTGGAGTTGAAATTTGTAGAACTGCTAGAGTCTGTGATTGCTATGGCAAAATCCACTTTTGATAGGTTGAGTATTCAGTCAATGCTTGCCCACCAAACTGGAAATCTTTCCCAGGTGGGTGCTGGTCTTGTGGCCGAACTTGTGGAGGGAGATACGGATATGGCTGGAGAACTTCAGGGTGAAGCCCTGATGCATAAGACATATGCAGCACGTTTAATGGGTGGGGAAGCATCAGCTCCTGCTGCTGCGACCTCAGTCTTGCGGTTCATGGTTGACCTGGCAAAGATGTGCCCCCCATTCTCTGCTGTCTGCAGGCGTGCTGAATTTCTTGAAAGCTGTGTTGACCTGTATTTTTCTTGTATTAGGTCTGTGTTGACGTGCCAACTAATTTGTATTTTTCCAGAAAGTTCTCTGCAATCTGGTTTCTTAAATTTTTATGAATCATGTTACTCTGTCTCAGGTTTATGCTTGCTTGTTTAAATGAACTAATTTATTGTGTCTTGCAGGGCTGCATATGCAGTGAAAATGGCAAAAGCTCTTTCAGAAAGGACAGAAGAAAAGAATGTTAATGACTCCGATGATACCAGTAGTTCTCAAAATACATTTTCTAGCTTGCCTCAAGAGCAGGAGCAGTCTCTGAAAACCTCCGTTAGTCTTGGAAGCTTCCCCCAAGGGCAGGCAAGTACAAGTTCTGAAGATATGCTTGCAAACTCCAATTATATAGCTGATGATAAAGTAGAGGTCAAGGTTAACATGGCCCAGCAGGAATCAAACAATAACGTTGACCAGGACTCTGTCGCCTCAAGCTCCAATGATTCCAGCATCCGTAACATTAAAGGTGCTATGGATCCTGTTCAACCAACAGATTCCCAGAGCTCTGCATCTCTCACTTTGCTAGATTCTCCCATTTTATCCGAGAAATCTAATTCCAGAGTTCCATTTACACCCTCTTCTGCTCCAGTTATTGCACTGACTTCTTGGTTAAGTTCAAACCACAATGAATCTAAAACGCCCTTAGTTGCCACTCCTTCCATGGAGTCTTCTGTGTCTGTTGCCGAGTTTGATCCATCTTCAGACTTGAAGTCTAGTTCTCAAGGAGCCTCTGCTGCCAATACATTTTTTGCAGTTAGTCCAAGCCTTCTCCTTGAAATAGATGATTCAGGCTATGGTGGTGGTCCTTGTTCTGCTGGAGCAACTGCTGTGTTAGATTTTATGGCAGAAGTTCTTTCTGATTTTATGACTGAGCAAATGAAAGCAGCACAGGTTGCAGAGAGCATTTTGGAGGCGGTTCCTTTGTACATTGATGCTGAATCGGTGTTAGTTTTTCAGGGTTTGTGCCTTAGTAGACTGATTAACTTTCTTGAAAGGCGTCTGTTGCGTGATGATGAAGAAGATGAGAAAAAGCTAGATAAGAGCCGTTGGTCTTCAAACTTAGATGCTTTGTGCTGGATGATAGTGGATCGTGTATATATGGGTGCTTTTCCTCAGCCAGCTGGTGTACTAAAGACATTAGAGTTCTTGCTATCGATGTTACAGTTGGCAAATAAAGATGGCCGAATTGAAGAAGCATCTCCTGGCGGAAAAGGTCTTTTGTCTATTGGAAGAGGAAGCAAGCAACTTGATGCTTATATACATTCAATTTTAAAGAACACAAATCGAATGATATTGTATTGCTTCCTTCCATCATTCTTGGCCACCATTGGAGAAGATGATCTCCTCGCTAGCTTAGGTGTACTTATTGAACCTAAGCGGAAATCATCGTCAAGCTTTTCACAAGAAGATTCAGCAGTTGATATCTACACAATTTTACAGTTATTAGTTGCTCACAGAAGAATTATATTCTGTCCCAACAATCTTGATACTGATCTAAATTGCTGTCTTTGTGTGAATTTAATATCCCTTCTCCATGATCAAAGGCAAAATGTACAGAACATGGCAGTTGATTTAGTGAAGTATTTGCTGGTCCATCGCAGGGCTGCAGTCGAAGACTTGCTTGTCTCAAAACCGAATCAAGGACAGCAACAGGATGTATTACATGGTGGTTTTGACAAATTATTGACTGGAAGTTTATCTGCTTTCCTTGATTGGCTTCAGAACTCTGAACAGACAGTCAATAAAGTGTTGGAACAGTGTGCTGCCATTATGTGGGTACAGTATATATCTGGATCAGCAAAATTTCCTGGAGTGAGGATAAAAGGCATGGAAGGCCGCCGCAAGAAGGAAATGGGGAGAAGATCTAAGGATACTGCAAAACTAGATTTGAAGCACTGGGAGCAGGTAAATGAACGGAGATATGCGCTGGAGTTGGTCCGTGATGCAATGTCTACTGAGCTCAGAGTTGTTCGTCAAGATAAGTATGGATGGGTTCTCCATGCTGAAAGTGAGTGGCAAACACATCTCCAACAACTTGTACACGAGCGGGGAATATTTCCAATGAATAAACCTTCTGCGACTGAAGACCCTGAGTGGCAGCTTTGTCCTATTGAAGGTCCATACAGGATGCGCAAAAAGCTTGAGCGCTGCAAATTGAGAATTGATAGCATCCAAAATGTCCTTGATGGACATTTGAATTTGGTTGAAGCAGAGCTGTCCAAGGCAAAAAATCAAGGTGGTCCTGATGCATCTGATACTGATTCTGAATCATTCTTCCATCATTTGACTGACAGTGGAAAGCATGAAGGTGTTGTCTCTGAGCTATATGGTGACTCAATTTTTAAAGAACTGGAAGATGTGAAAGATGTAGCTTCTGTTAGGAATGGTTGGAATGATGACAGAGCTAGTAGTATAAATGAAGCAAGTCTTCACTCAGCACTTGAGTTTGGTGGCAAGTCAAGTTCAGTTTCTGTTCCAATATCAGAGAGTGTACAAGAAAAATCTGACATAGGGTCTCCAAGGCAGTCGTCATCTGTCAAACTGGATGAAGTAAGGAGTACAGAGGATAAATCAGATAAGGAACTGCTTGATAATGGTGAATATTTGATTAGACCTTATCTGGAACCTCTTGAGAAAATAAGATTCAGATATAACTGTGAAAGGGTTGTAGGTCTTGATAAACATGATGGTATATTTCTGATAGGGGAACTTTCTTTGTATGTAATTGAGAATTTTTTTATTGATGACTCGGGGTGCATTTGTGAAAAGGAATTCGAAGATGAACTTTCTGTTATTGATCAGGCTTTAGGTGTAAAAAAGGATGTTTCTTGCAGTACGGACTTCCAGTCCAAGTCAACTTCATCTTGGAGCGCATCAGCAAAGACATGTGTTGGGGGAAGGGCATGGGCCTATAGTGGCGGTGCATGGGGAAAGGAGAAGGTGTACACCAGTGGTACTTTACCTCATCCCTGGCGTATGTGGAAGCTCAATAGTGTTCATGAGATTTTAAAGCGTGATTACCAGCTACGACCTGTTGCCGTGGAAATATTTAGCATGGATGGATGTAATGATCTCCTGGTGTTTCACAAAAAAGAGAGAGAAGAAGTGTTTAAGAATCTTGTCGCCATGAATCTTCCAAGGAACAGCATGTATGAAATCTACTTCCTATTGTCTTTTTATAATTCTTTTGCAGTGTCCCCGCTTGCCCTCCCTTTCCTTTTTTTAATCTTCATATATAATGGTAATAGATTGTGCTAGGATGTTAATGACCAGTTCTTGAGCAGCTCAGGTTTGGCTAGTGAATTGGCCTTTTCTTTTTTCTTTTTCATATTTACTGGTAATAGTTTGTGCTAGGATGTTAACAACCAGTTCTTCAGCAGCTTAGGTTTGGTTAGTTAATTGCTGCTCGAGGTGCTATTTCCTAGACTCATGAATGGGCTTGGTGTAGAAAATAATAATAAAATTTGACATAATATGCCTATCAGTTAAATGAAAAAACTATTGAATTATGTTTATTCTCACAATTCTTGTCATCTTCACCATATACATATGGTGGAAAAGACCTTTACCGATTGATTAATGGAAGTCTTAAAACTTGTGCCTTGTGTTTTGATTAGCTAAGACATGAAAACTTTTTGTATTGAATTATAATATAGTGCATAGTGAAAATGTGGTGTATGTCTCGTCGTGCTTAATGCTTTTTTTTTACTCTATTTTTAATACATACGTAATATGTGATGTGTATAGTTGGAAAAGTAACAATGCTATGCTTTGTACTTTCATGGCTCATCTTTGTTAGTGGCTTTCTTTTATATATATATATATATTGTTGACATACCTGTGCTTTGGTGTTGCTTTTCCTTATCTTCTGTATCTTGGAGCATGAGACTGTTTACTTAATGATTCTCTTGCTTGCAGGCTGGACACAACCATTTCAGGTTCAGCCAAACAGGAAAGCAATGAGGGCAGCCGTCTTTTTAAAATAATGGCTAAATCTTTCTCAAAAAGGTGGCAAAATGGAGAGATTAGCAATTTCCAGTACCTCATGCATCTCAATACCTTAGCAGGACGTGGATACAGTGACCTGACCCAGTATCCAGTCTTTCCTTGGGTTCTTCAAGACTATGAGAGTGATGATCTTGACTTGTCAGATCCAAAAACATTTCGTAAGCTTGACAAACCAATGGGTTGTCAAACACGGGAGGGAGAAGAGGAGTTTAAGAAAAGGTCAGTTGTCATGATTTCTTTTCGTGTAGATATTTCTATATAAATCTTTTAAATGGTTATTGCCAAGCTTCTTGATGTATTATCATCTACAAGTGCTTTTTGTTAATTAAATACATTTTATTGCTTACTCTTTCATTTTTGTTATAATTCTTTTATCTCAGATATGAGAGCTGGGATGATCCTGAGGTCCCCAAATTTCATTATGGTTCTCATTATTCCAGTGCTGGAATTGTCCTCTTTTATCTTCTTCGCCTACCACCATTCAGTGCAGAGAATCAGAAGCTTCAGGGTGGTCAGTTTGATCATGCTGATCGTCTTTTTAATAGCGTTAGAGATACTTGGTCAAGCGCATCTGGAAAAGGCAACACATCTGATGTGAAGGAATTGATTCCAGAATTCTTCTACATGCCTGAGTTTTTGGAAAACCGGTTCAATCTCGACTTGGGAGAGAAGCAATCAGGGGAGAAGGTCTGTATTTGTTAAACTCTTCATATGCTGTTGACTACTTTCTGTTATTTGTTTGATGATGTTCTGATACAAGAATTGGAATACACAATTTCATACTGAACAGTGTATCATAATCATATGTGTCATTTAGGTTGGTGATGTCATCTTACCTCCTTGGGCCAAAGGAAGTGCGAGAGAGTTCATAAGGAAGCATAGAGAAGCACTGGAATCTGATTATGTTTCAGAAAATCTTCATCATTGGATAGATCTCATCTTTGGTTATAAACAGAGAGGGAAGGTGGGTTTTAACATTGTTTTCAATTCATTGCTTTTGATGAAAGATTAAATTGTACTTGTTTAAGTGTATTGTGATGTCACATGTCCTCCATTTTCTTATTTCTTTCCTGTTTAGTAATTCTTTGCTTGTGTTCCACTGGCAAATAAATGGACATATCGTCAGATATCAGCAAATAATGTCATTCATGCTGATAATATATTTTTTTTTTTCTAGGAAACTTCTTTCTTTATATTTTTACTTTATTAGTTTTTATTAATTCAAGTTTCAGTTTATCCTTGGTTTAAATCTTTAACCCTGTCTCTATTTCAGTGCAACACATAATATATCAGGGTTTTTTTTTTTTTTTTTTTTTCTGCTGATAGGTTAATGTATTCCTTTATGTAATTGACAGGAAGCTGAAGAAGCTGTGAATGTTTTCTATCATTACACATACGAGGGAAGTGTGGATATAGATTCGGTTACAGATCCTGCGATGAAAGCATCCATTTTAGCACAAATTAACCATTTTGGGCAAACTCCCAAGCAACTATTCCTCAAGCCTCATGTGAAAAGGCGGATTGACAGAAAGCTTCCTCTTCATCCTCTCAAACATTCGTTCCACCTTGTTCCACATGAAATACGCAAGAGTTCATCTTCCATCACTCAGATTGTTACTGTCCATGAGAAAGTTCTTGTGGCAGGGTCAAACACTTTGCTGAAACCTAGAACGTATACCAAGTATGTAGCATGGGGTTTTCCAGATCGTAGCTTGAGAATTTTGAGCTATGATCAAGACAGACTCCTCTCTACCCACGAGAATCTTCATGGGGGCTACCAGGTTCAGTGCGTTGGTGTCAGCCATGATGGTCAAATTTTGGTCACTGGTGCTGATGATGGGTTAGTTTCTGTTTGGAGAATCAGCAAGGTTGGGCAGCGTTTGTTGCAACGCTTGCATTTGGAGAAGGTGCTTTGTGCCCATACAGCCACGGTTACATGCCTTCATGTTAGCCAGCCCTACATGCTTATTGTCAGTGGGTCTGATGACTGCACTGTTATTATATGGGACCTTAGTGCTTTGTGTTTTGTGAGGCAGCTCCCTGAGTTCCCTGCTCCGGTTTCAGCAGTTTATGTAAATGACTTGACTGGGGAAATAGTGACAGCTGCTGGAATTTTGCTTGCTATTTGGAGTATCAATGGGGACTGCCTTGCCGTGATTAACACATCTCAACTGCCATCTGATTCCATTCTCTCGGTGACAAGTTGTACATTTTCTGATTGGCTGGACACAAATTGGTATGTGACAGGTCACCAGAGTGGAGCTGTTAAGGTATGGAAAATGATCCACTGCTCCGAGGAAGAGAGTGTCCGCGCTCAAAGCAAGTCAAGTAGCAGTGGGACTGGGTGTTTAAATTTGGGTGGTAATTCACCGGAGTACAGGTTGGTCCTCCACAAAGTACTGAAGTTTCATAAGCATCCAGTTACTGCCCTTCACATCCCGAGTGACCTTAAACAGTTACTGAGTGGTGATTCTGCTGGGCATTTGGTGTCTTGGACGCTGCCAGATGAGAGCTTAAGAATTTCATTTAATCAGGGGTGACGAACAGAGAAACAACATTTTGTGATGATTTCAGCTCATCAGGCAGCTATTTGACTATTTATCAAAACCACTTCATCGGTTTTGAGTCCAAGCTCATCGGGGGGAAAAATCAATTGTGTATTCATAATACATGGAAAGGGGAAACCAAGGCAACAGAGCTGGCCCGGGATTAATACAGAAGAAAAAAATCGAGGAGAAATGAAACCTGTTGCAGATATGAATTATTCTTGAAAAGTCTGATTAGTATGAGACCGACCATGGTGTTTACACGGGCGTCTCAATGTTCCGGTTGAGAAGGTGAAAAGGTAGGTCTTATTTTTGTTGTATTGTGGGTGATAGAAATGGAGGATGTTTTCCGATTTTGAACGAAAACGTTGCTCTACTACGTTAGTGGTGGTTTTTGATGTAAATAGATGGAATTACTAACCGTGTGTGATGAAGTTGTATAGCGGAAAAATGTGCCATGAGTGAGCGTTAGGAGTATGATCAAAAGTTTGGCTGTAATTCTTTTTACGCAGTAAAGTTTATAAATAGTTTATTCATTGTTCATGACTGGTTTTTGGGGACCCAATTAGTGCAAGAGAATCAAACCTAGAGGAACAGGTTCAAATTGGGTAATTAGCATAGTTGGAAAGTGGGTGTAAGGATTATTTGGGGTTTGTTGTAACTGTTTATTTTATAGTGGGATTGTTTAATTTTAAGCTTATCTAAGCTTTTTGGAAAACCACATCAAACCTCTTTTAATTAGACTAATGTTACATATTACTGGGTCGTTTGTTATATTAGTTAATATAATTTATTTCATTTGTCTATAACTTAAAGTTATCCAATCATATTAAAACATATCAATTTGTATGAGCAATCAGTTTATTTCGCATTTTTTTTTTAAATATTGAAAATATTAAAAAAAGAATAATTTCAATTATGTGTATTTCAAATATAATGTTTTTCTAAAATTTGTGGGCTCCTTTGGTACACAATTTTTCGCTACTCTATTCTCAATTCTATCCAAAATACTACACTTATTTCTTTATTCTCAAAATATTATTCTATATTATTTAATTTTTTTAAAGCCCCTAGATTTGTATTTAACTTTAAACCTCATAGATTTGTTAATTTAACTAAACACCCCTCAATTTTTTTTTTTTTAGAAATTGACAAAAACATCGTAGTAACCCACATTTGCCAGATTCTAGCCACCACCGTCGGAAGTTGGCCGGAATCTTGTATAATAGCGCACTATCGGCTAGATTTGGCCAGTAGTGCGTTGATCTAGCATTTTCTGGCCAGATCTACGGCCAAAGATCTAGCCGTTGACGGTCAGATCTTTGGCCGTAGCTAGTCGTTGACGACCAAATAGCCAGATCTGGTCGTAGATCTGGCCGGAAAAAGCCATAGTGGCGCACGACCGGCCAGATCCAACCGGTCGTGCGCCGATACGGCGACTCCGACAGTGGTGGTCGGTATTTAATGGGTGGGTAAGGGTGCTTTTGTTAATTTTTAATATTTTATTATAGGGGTGTTTAGTAAATAAACAAACCTAGAGGGTATATTTTTGTTAATTTCTAAATCCTACATCATAATAACCATCCAATTTTGCTTTTTTTCAAAATATTATTCTAAAAAGTTTAGAATAATGAACCTATATTTTAAACGTACAAAAATGAAAAGGGGTTTGATATATTTGTTTAAGTAAACTTTTTATAATAGACATGTATTGGCTCATTGGTTTGAATCGGAAATTAGCTTTATCATATTAAAGGGCTACAAAACAAACATTATAATTTTATGCATAATGTGAAGAAAATGGGAGGAACATTTTGTATTATTTATTTATTCTATTTTGTGAAAACAAGTTCTAAATTCATTAAAAGACCAAAATAATCTACACATTTTACAAAATAATAGAATTAAAAGACCAAAAACAAGTTTTCATTCATATTGCCCTTACACTTTTCAAGATTAAACCAACCAAAGACCATCCGTAAGTTTGACATGAAAACGCTTTCTCACAAGTTTTTGAAACAGGGTGTCTAATCAGTTTATGCATACTTTGACTAATCTCTGTAGGTGATTAATACAACATCCCAACGTCATATTTATGTATGTATTAGTATTATATGGATTATAAGGAAATTACTCACTTACTCCATAATTCTATAATAAATGTTATGTTGACACTTAAACAACTATATAGTTTGAGATACAATTTTGGGATCTAAACTTTGTATGAATAGTATTATTGTTATTAAAAATATCATTTTAACTCTTGTATAATTTATATTTAACTAATAAAACCTCTATTTAATATTTGTGCGCTAGTTTCCTCAAATTAGAAGGGAAAAACATTTTTACACGAAATCTAAGTAATGACAATGTAATTAATTGTAGAGTGAAATTATTAGCACCCACTTTTTTATTTTTTGAAACACCTTTTAAAGGTTTTTCTTCTATTTCCATTGTTATCTTTTACAAAAATAACACAATATATAATTATTAAAGAATAAACAGATTTTTTATTATAATAAACTCAAATATTGGTTTGTTTGTTTTATTATTTTGGATAGGATTTTGAGAATAATATTGGGTAGTTGAATAGGGGAGTATTACGAGATAAAATATAAAAATTTACAAAAAAACCCTCTAGGTTTGCTAATTTAACTAAACATCCTAATATATAAAAAATTTGTAAAATGACAAAAACACCCCCACCACCCACAGTGTCTGATTCCTGCCACAATCGGCGGAATCTGGTTGGAAAATGCCAGATTAGTGAATTACCGGCCAGTTTCGGTAATTCGTAGGCTGTTGTGATAGATTCCGGCAACCACCATCGGAATCTGACAAATATGGGTGGATGAGGGTGTTTTTGTTAATTTTTAAACTTTTTGGGGGTATTTGAGATTAATAAACTTAAGGGGTCTAAAAATAATTAAAAAATATACTAATATTTCTCAAATAATAAAACCAACAATATTTAGGGAATAGGATTGGGAATATGAGTAAAAATAATGTGCCAAACTCACAATTTAAAGTATAAATATAAATGGGGTAATTTTTAAAACATTTAAATATATATTAATAATTTAATTGGGTAAATTTAGAACGGAGTAATTCTTTTGAGATCATTTTCTTTTAATTTATAAATGAGTATCAATTACACGACCCTTTTTTTAATTGAATTGCTAAATGCACCTTAGCTATTCTCCTGCACATTACCTTCGTTTCTCATGCAGGTACTCTTTCATGGCAACTGCTTTCTCAAACTCTTGTTTCAATGGTGGCACTTCGACTCACCATCCTTTGTTAAACACAACCCATATAAGCCCACCTCCTAACATCCCTAGTTTTTCCCAAAATCCCATTAAATCCCCGTTTCTCAAAGAGATTTGCAAGCAAGGCAATCTGAAGGGAGCGTTTCAATCTTTAACTTATCTGTTTACTGATAATAACTCACTTTTGATTTCCCCAGATGAAGCTTATGCACAAGTGCTTGAGCTTTGTGCCAAAAAGAAAGCCCTCCTTCAAGGCAGGCAAACTCATGGCAGTTTGATCAAATATTATAATAGTACGTCTGAATCGTTGTTTTTGGATACTAAGCTTGTGTTTATGTATGGGAAATGTGGTAGCATTACTGACGCGGAAAAGGTGTTTGATAAAATGTCTGAGAGAACAATTTTTACATGGAATGCTTTGTTAGGCGCTTATGTCTCAAATGGGGAACCTTTGGGAGCTCTTAAAACATATCGAGAAATGCGGGTTTTGGGTATTCCTCTTGATGCTTATACTTTTCCATCCGTACTTAAAGCTTGTAGTGTGCTTAAAGATCTTAATTGTGGAGCTGAAATTCATGGTTTAGTCATTAAATGTGGCTATGATTCTATTGCTTTTGTTGTTAATTCTCTTGTTGCTATGTATGCAAAGTGCCATGAGCTTGTTAAAGCGAAGCAATTATTTGACAAAGTGGGTAAAACAGAAGATGTTGTGCTATGGAATTCTATAATTTCAGCATATTCTGCAAATGGGTACAGCATGGAGGCATTAGATGTCTTCAGAAATATGCAAAAAGGTGGTCTTGTTACAAATAGTTATACTTTTGTTGCCGCTCTTCAAGCGTGTGAGGATTCTTTATTCAAAAAACTGGGTATGGAGATTCATGCTGCTATTTTGAAATCAAGTCACAAACTTGAGGTTTATGTGGGAAATGCTTTGATTGCTCTGTATGCTAGATGTGGTAAAATGACTGAAGCTGAACGAGTATTAAATTCATTGGAGGACAAGGATGAAGTGTCGTGGAATTCCATGCTCACTGGTTTTGTCCAAAATGGTATGTATGGTGAAGCTATGCAATTCTTTCGTGATTTGCAACGAGCTGGTCACCAACCTGACCAGGTTTCTGTTATAAGTGCTCTTACGGCATCTGGGCGATTGTGTAATTTATTAAATGGAATGGAATTACATGCTTTTGCAATAAAACATGGTGTTGTTGCTGATTTGCAGGTTGGTAATACTCTTTTGGATATGTATGCAAAATGTTTTTGTGCGAAATACATGGGCCGTGCTTTTGATCAGATGCATGTAAAGGATTTCATTTCTTGGACAACTCTTATTTCTGGCTATGCTCAGAACAATTGTCATGCAAGGGCCTTAGCATTGTTCAGGAAAGTTCAGACAGAAGGGGTTGATGTGGATATTGTGATGATAGGAAGTGCGCTAATGGCTTGTAGCGGATTAAAATGCATGTCTCGATTGAAAGAAATACATGGTTATATTATCAGAAAAGGTTTATCTGATCTTGTGCTACAAAACTCAGTTGTTGACGTATACGGAGAGAGTGGAAACATTATTTATGCCAGAAAAATGTTTGAGTCCATTGAATCTAAAGATATTGTGTCTTGGACCAGCATGATGTCAACTTACGTCCATAATGGACTTGCAAATGAAGCTCTGGAAATTTTCTACTTAATGAATGAAACTAATGTTGAACCGGATTCTATAGCAATAGTGAGTATACTCTCTGCTGCTGCAAGTTTATCTACCTCAAAGAAAGGAAAAGAAATTCATGGTTTTGTTGTCAGGATAGGCTTCATGTTAGAGGGATCTTTAGCCAGCTCTCTGGTAGATATGTATGCTCGTTGCGGAGCTCTAGAGAATGCATATAAGGTATTTAATTGTGTCCACAATAAAGATCTAGTTTTATGGACAAGTATGATCAATGCAAACGGACTGCATGGCCGTGGCAAAGCTGCCGTTGATTTATTCTATAAGATGGAGAGTGAAAATATTGCTCCTGATCATATAACCTTTTTGGCACTTCTTTATGCTTGCAGCCATTCTGGATTGATCGACGAGGGCAAAAGATTTATTGATATTATGAGATATGAATATAATTTGGAGCCATGGCCAGAACACTCTGCCTGCCTTGTTGATCTGCTTGGTCGCGCAAATCGGTTGGAGGAGGCATACCAATTTGTTATAAGTATGCAAATTGAGCCTAATGCTGAAATTTGGTGCTCTCTTCTTGGGGCTTGTCAGGTCCACTCTAACAAAGAACTAGGAGAAATTGCGGCACGAAAGCTATTAGAACTGGACCCAGAGAATCCTGGAAATTATGTGCTTGTATCTAATGTCTTTGCCGCTAGTGGTAGATGGAAAGATGTTGAACAAGTGAGAATGAAAATGAAGGGAAGTGGGTTGAAGAAAACACCCGGATGTAGTTGGATGGAGATTGGAAATAAGCTTCATACGTTCATTGCAAGAGACAAGTCTCATCCAGAGTCCAATGAGATATACAAAAAGCTGGCTCAAATTACCAAGAAATTGGAGAGTGAAGGAGGCTATGTGGCTCAAACTAAATTTGTCTTGCACAATGTGGAGGACAAAGAGAAGGTTCAGATGCTATATGGTCATAGTGAAAGGCTGGCCATTGCATATGGTCTACTTAAGTCTACAAAGGGAGACGTTATTCGCATTACAAAGAACCTTCGTGTTTGTGCTGATTGTCATGTTTTCTGCAAGCTTGTTTCAAGGTTCTTCGAACGAGAACTTCTTGTGAGGGACGCCAACAGGTTTCATCATTTTAAGGATGGGATTTGCTCTTGTGGAGATTTCTGGTAACATTTACTATTATGTTGAATGATTTAATTATGAAAGAGTTCTAAGTTTCATTCTTGCTAGTGATTATGGTTGGGTCACTTGTAAATGGAAGAGCCACCACCAGCCCATACGATCGAGGAAAGTTTTCGGTGGATGAACATACGACGTCAGTGTAAGTCTATCTGATAAGACTCCATCATCTAATGCATTATTGCAGAATTAATGGAACATGCATCATATTGGTTAAACGAGATATACAAAGGACATGATGTATCTAATCCTATCCAAGAATTTTTCGTCCATATGTCATGAAGAGGAGGAAATTGTTCAAATCCCTTATTGCCACATTGCCCAAATCGAAAGAACAGAGCTAGAAAATTGTAATTATCCACATGTGGGAATCTAATTCAACACTCTAGCTACTGATGAAGATGTTCTTCTCAAGCACAAGGCTTGCTAATTGGAGGTTCTCTGTGCTTCAAACTTGGAGATATGAAGAAAAAAGGCCACAGACGTAAGTGAAAATGTACTAATTAATCCTCATTTCATTCATAGAACCACAATTAGCTAATCCAAACTGTTGTATATCATAATTGAACTATATTACTGAAAACAAGTCAATTAAAAGAGATTGTGAATATTTCTTGTATCCCATTCTTCCCAGTAATAAGAACCCAAATGCCTTGAAGTAAACTCTATTTCAAGCATATAAGCATCAAGTTTTCTGTTAGGAGCTTTAAATATTAAGTGCTGTTCAGTTATCATATTGTAGTTTATTTATTAATATTTTTATTATCTCTTTGGTAAACGCAAGACCTTTTTTGTTAGAAGGACGATAAAGATAATTCGGGATCTTGACCACTAAGGATCTGATTCTTTGTTGTAGTTTTGGCCTTTTGGGTCCTCAGTCTTCACTCTCTCTCACACGCCAAGTCAAAGTTGAAAATCCCCAGACATGTGAAACCAAAACCAAACCAAACCAAACCAATATTCTGCGAAATCTTTAATGACTGGAGGCTCAGGCAACAAGTGCTGCAAGAGTAGCTAGTTTAATTCGTGCATGCGTAGATCTGTTAAATTGTATTTTAGTGTTTAGAATATTATATGCAGAAGAGAAAAACAAAAACCTTTCCTTTTCTTGTTTTTTTCCTGCATCTTATTTAATTCTATGTGGCTGTAGACAAAGCCAGGACCACTCTAGAGCCTACAAATTCTCAGTCTACTCCTCCGCCTCCTGTTGCTGCTGCGGCTGTCCTGCAATATTGCATATAAACTGGCACAGAGAGAAACGAGAAAGAGAGACATGTTTGATATAAATAGGCTGCACTATCTGAACATATATTCATTAGCCCATGCTCTAAATTTTGAACTTGTCATCAATCCTGCATTGCTTATATTTGCTCAGAGAAATTCGCAGGCATGCACTGTAACATAGCCCTAGCCTTTTTAGACGACCTAAAATCAACTGGGTTTCTGATTCTGCCTCCAATAGGGTGGCTCCAGATCCACCCCAATATTTTATTTTGCAGTAGTAAATTTTCTTTTCTATGTTATCATTAGATCAAATCTTAGTTTATGCTTTTGGTTTTTCTGTACGTTGGGATATGAAAGTGAATCAATCAGAAAGAATTTATTATAAAATTTGAAGTGTCCATGTGCTATTAGCCTACCGATTGAATGCAGAAAGAGTGTGAAAATAGTATCAGGTTAGGTGTTTAAATAAAAGAAAGAAAGAAAAAAAAAAAAAAAGAATCGACTGGAGCATGCCAAGGTCAATGGAAAGAAACAACCAGTGCAATTTTACCACATGGCAAAAGCTCTATCTTTTACTCTTTGTCTCCACTCTCAACCTGAATACTCTGATACTCTCTTTCTTTATCAATTTTTGATCAGTTAGGTTATCTTTCTCTCTCTCACGAGCGAGCTTTAGTGTAATACTGTAATGTAACAGCTGTAACAGCAGCCTCTAATTGATGTAAAGAAAAATTGTTATTGATATCTATTAACTTAATTGCTTTTACTTACTCAAAACCTGACCATCATGATTTTGCCTGTGACTTCAAAAGATACATAGAGATACTTTGCTTGCTTGGTTAGTCTTTCTCGATGGACGGAATGGGAAGTAGCATTAAAATCACCAACCAAATGAATTGACTACTGAAAATTGAACAAAGCTAGTTACACTAAAGAGAAAAAAACCGCATTGAAATTTTAAATATAAATATATTTTAGAACACAATAATTGCAGAGGAGAAACAGGAACAGTGGTCAGTGGTAAACTAAGCTACTCCCCCTATCTTCCTGTAGTAGAAAAGTCTAGACTTACAACAGTGGTTGTGCAGCAGAGAGCTCAGTCCCTCAGAGCCGCCCCCACCCAGCTCTCTTCATGCCGTCCTATATTTGCACCAGCTGTGACCCTAATACCAGGCCTATTCTCTCTTTCTTAGCTGTCCACATGGTGATGATATACCTTCCTTCTTTTTAATTGGCTGTTTCATCTTTGTGATCCTCTTTAACACCTCTCTCAATTGATCTCAAACCCCATTATAAATATTTGCTTTAACTTGTTATCTTCTCTATTCCCTTCTTCATCTCAGGTTTCAGGGTTCTTGACGTCTTTGTTTCTTTCTTTTCTAAGTTCAGTTTTTGCTGCTTTTTTCTCATCCATCTTCGTCTCAGGGTTTTAGGGTTCTTCTTCTTTCTTTTCCTACTTATATTTATTATTCAAATTTTTTGTTTTCCCTTTCTTCCTCCTTCTTTCATGCATTATCAGCTCCCAAACCTTAACCAGTTGTAGCATTTTTTTTTCTGTTTCACCATCTTTTTTGCAGACTTTTTCTGGTATTTTCTTCTTTCAGAGATTGACAAAATATTTTGCAGCCATAAATACTGAGAATGCATGCATGTTCTTCGATCTCTTGAGTAGACACTTTTGGATAAGTTATCCAAGTCGTGATGAGATAGAAACCCTTGAAGCACTGCCATTTTGTTTTCCTGAATCACTAGAATTATTTGTACATGGAGTTGGCGAGTTCCTACTTCCGTAAAGTTATGATGAGAAAGTCTGCAAGGGAAAAAGTGAAGCTGCCAGCATGATCTAGCTTTGGCTAGTAGAGATTGAACTAACCCTAGCTAGGTCATGCTCTGACAGCCTCACTCCTTCCTATTTGGGGACCCATTTAGTTTCATTTATCCTTCAAATCTGAACCCCTAAAGCAAAAAAGAGGATAAGTTATCATCACCGTAAGTATATTCCTTGCTCGTTCTCGTAATGTCCCGCATGCGTTCTAGCTTTTTCTTTTGCCTTATTGCTTTTTGTTTTATTGATTATTTATGCTTCTGTTTTTTTTGTTGCTGATCGAGTTTACTTTTGCATCATGTGTCGCAGTGCAGGGAAAGTATCAGTTACTAGTTATCATATGTAATGTATATAATATCTCTTTTGTTTGATTTTTAAGCAGATGTGATATGCATTGAAATCTTGATGGAATCTTGGGGGTTTCTCAGAGGAGTAATAGAAAGTTTCAATATTTTTTCTGTCGATTGTAATTACTTCATTAATTAAGGAAATGGTCATTTAATAATTGAAATTCTCAAGTAAGCTACCTTTCTCAGTTTTTCTCATGAGTAGTGATGCTAACTTTATTTCTCCAAGCTGCAACAACAATGGCGTCTCTCTTATTACTTAACCTTGACTGAGAAAAGACTTTTGACTGCTATTATTAGATGTAAGATTACATACGTCCATACGGGCAAATGCTTGCGTGTAATCAAGATACTTGTCCGTTTCATTCTTTTAAATTGAAACGGGTAAAGATTAAACATCACCACTCAGGGATTAAAATGGTATATAATCAGTGAGTTGTGAGAGATTAATTGGTTAAATTTAGTTTGTTTAATGTTTGGAATGTGATTTATTTGCCATTCTTGAAGGAATAAGAAAGGGGTTGGCTTGTAGTTCTTGAGTTAGAGCTAGAAATTGACATCAAATTCGCCTGTCGGCCACTAACTCCTCTAATCTCTCAGCTTTTACACACAACACAACTGATAAAACCAATTCACAAGGGGCCAGATTAAGAAAACACCCCCAGTTAATCTGTTTATCATCATTTTGTCTCTTTTATCATACATGTATCAGCATCATGCATCATTATGGTCATCTTTTTATAAATATGATGTCAACTGTGGTCATCGGTTACGCGTCCTTTGTACGTTGCAGGAATTTGAGACGTTTTCTAAAAGGGTTATATACCAGTTGCATGCATTTGGAGAACCCATATATAAAAAGATATATAGAAGTTGTGAAATATGTATGTATATATAACTGCAGTTCGAGATTGTTTATTTCAAATTGCTTTGAGACTTAAGTGTTAGGGTTTTATGTGTCGATGGGTTGAGAAGTTTTTGTCTATTCGATCAGCTGATTTAATGTTCAGTTACTGTAAAATTAATACAATATTTTCTGGTTTCTTGTACTCTCTGATCCTGAAAAATTAAGTTATATATGTATATAGAACAGGAAACCCGTGAGAAAATAAACAAAGAGAATGGCAACAGAAGAATTAATACATTTTTATAGAAACCAATATCCTTGTTAGTTTTTAATTAAATAATAATACAGAAATGATCATTTTAAATCACCTGAGTTGAGAACAATTTTATAACGCTGTTAAGTTTTTAAAGACAGCAGACATAAAAAGAATTAGAGATAATTTATTAAACTTGATTGAAGATTAAGTCATGAATTTAAATATAATTATTATATAACTGATAATCATAGAACAGAAGAAAAAAGCAAAGGAAACATTAAATCAGATGGAGCCCATGAAAAGTCCTCTTCAGCAGCCAGTGGAATCTTTAACTATTTAGAGTGTCAATGGCAATCTAACAAATGAACTAATGGGAATTTATAAAAATTAATTGGAAAGATTAAGTAGGAATATTCTATTATATTTTATGATGAAAATTAAGGTGGGTAATGAATCAAGATTTCTGGATGGCAGCCGAAGTGTTAGGAACTTTGATCTTTCATAAGAATATAATTAATGTTTCCCACCTTTTGATACTTTTCATGCATCCATTGGTTCCATATATATATTCCTCAAACCTACCAAAGGGAACAAAACAAGTTGAAAGAAACATAATGTCAAGATCACAGTAAACTTTATCAGAATATATAAATATATAAATATCTGGACTCTCTAATGTTTACTTAATCCATTGTATATTTGTATTGTCTTTATATAATCCAACTTTTGATAAGTAACTGACACCAATAAGATGCAAAAGCACACGGCTTCTGACAAATGGCTCATATAGTAATGTAAAATAATGAAGAATGAACAGTCATTTCTACTGTATCTTATTAGGAAAAAAATAACGCAGATATGGTCCCCAGAATTCTCTTTTCTGGGTTTATAATTTGTGAACAAAGAAAGAGATGTAAAGAAAAAGAGAGAGAGAGAGAGAGATTGAGAAGAACCTAAAGCTTTTTTGTTTTTGTTTTTTCCTTTGTTTCAATAAATTATTTGATAAATAAGAGACCCACATAAAGTTGGATAAAGGGGTGATCAATGTAAAATTTGTAACTTCTCACTAGTTTTTTGGCTGCATGGTGTGGCGTGGGCAATATAATATTCAATTTGTCTTTGGCTTTGGACCACTGCCATC